TATATAAAAAGAGAAAGGGGACGCTTCTCTACTTTTCTCTGGCTGCTTTTATGGAAATTCGATGTCGCATGCTGAAAATGTAAGAACAAGCCCTGGAAAAATAATGTCAAAGGAGAAATTGAAAAAAAGAGCAAAAAATTTCCCGGGCAGGGCAAGAATTTTTTTCCCGCTGCTTCTAATGATTTTGCGGCAAATGATGAGCCGAAGCGCCTCGGGCGACTTTCCTCAACCGCCCTTTCAGGGAAGAAATAATTATTTTTTTCTTTTCAACGCGGTGATCAGATAAGAAATATCAAGGACTCTCCCACTCAACTACAAAATAATGCTGGCGAGTTGAGAGGATTTTTTTCTAAAGCACGTCTCTCTTATCACTTTGCCCATTTTCTGTTAAAAAGATTCGTGGTTTTATTCTTTTTGCTTACACTTGAGACGGCGTTTACCACGTTAAATTTTTGTACAAGAATAAAAAAAAAAGTGTGCCTGTTTCTTTTTAATGACAAATGAGATAAAGAGAATTTTTTTTCATATTTCTCACAATTTGAGAGGATTACTATAGGGTTCCTTACGTTTGAAATAAAATGCAGATTGCAGACCTCTTCAAACTGAAGAGAGTACGTTCCATAGAACAATGAATTTTTAAGACGGTCCGCCGACGACGTTTCCTTTTGTGTTATCGTCAAAGGGAAAGGTCAACAAAAGAATGAGAAGAAGCGGCGGTGGCAGCAGCAGCCATTTCGAGAAGTTCAATTAAATTCTACGTAAGACACACAAAAGATCTGCTCATGTGATAAGAGTCGAGACCAGAGAAGGGAGTTTAAAAAAAGACGCGACTTTCAATTTTGCTAGAAACTGCTCAAGATCGTAAGGGTAAAATGAAGAAATCCACAAAAATCGATGCTCCACCGCTTTTTGGTCCAAAATGCCAGAATGTGATTTTTTTTCCGTTTTTTCATTTAGCATCTGGTGTTTTGAATAAGGGAAAAGATTTATTTTTAATCATAGACCCGAGGTAATTTAAATTTCTGTTATCAAAACATAATATCAATGGGGAAAATTTTTAAATTTATACTCAAGGTGAAAAAACCTATTCATTTAAATTTTGAGCATTGAAATGATTTAATTTTGTAAATAATTATTTTATGCAATGAGGAATTTTAAATAAATTTATCCAAGAGAATTGAGTTTCAAAAGTATGGCAGCGTGCAAAAGATATCGCGCATTTTCCTCTGTTGTAAATCACTTATCGTTTTTAGGTAGCGATCTGCGTTCGACAAAATCGAATCACTCGCAGCTCTCAATCAATCACCACGTGAAGAGCAGCGATGCAAAATGAGAAAAATAACGTATACGCGGCGTTTGGCCTCACGGTTCACCGACAATATAACTCCATCCGATGCAGCCGAAGTGAATGAAAATCGATTTGCCGCAGAGTGAAAGCGAAAAACAAGATGTTTGTTATTCGACGCTCGCGCGGGCAAAACAACGGCAGTTTATATCAAAGGAGGGCTAAAACCTTTCTTACGAGCAAAGATCCACCGTCGCATGTTTCGCTAATTAGCACGGCCGATTTATAATTCCAAGGGCAAAAAGCATCGAGAGCTGCGAGTGACACAACGAATTGCAAAATTATGCCGACACACTTGCGCCAACGAATCGTAATGAGCAGTGAGAGAGATAGCGTCGGGCCGCAGTTGCGACCACCGTGGCTTGGCTTTCATTTTGGTCACCGCTGCACACACTAACCGATTTATTCCTAAAGTAGTTTATTTAACCTGTGCCCTCATTCCGTCAGCCTTTTGCTGTAAAATATTTAAATATGTACTTCTTTAGGCAGACGAAAATTATATTTGTTTTCATAAATCTTTTAGGATCATTAAATTTTGTAAATTTTAATTAATTATTAAATTTAAATTTTAAAGATAAACCCAATTACTTTATAGAATTGAGGAAAATGGAGAAAAAATGTTTATTTTTCCTTCAATTCCATAATCATCTCCTTGAGTGCAATAAGTACTTGAAATACATTTTTGTTCAATAAATTATGGGAGATTCCAAACAATGCTGATTTGTTCAAAAAATGATATACCTAAAATTCTTATAATTGTATTTTATAATTAACCTCCAAGCATCTCTCTGCTGGCCAATTACCGATTTTCCATGCAGCCGCCTTACCTTCGCAGAAACGCGTCTGACTTCGCCGCGGCACCGAATTTACAAAACTAATTAGTTACCCTTTCAAATTCCGGCACAAAGAGAAGGAAAGGGCGGCAGCGCCGAGCCGCTTCTTTATACCACCAGCTTCCGCTCGGCGCACGAAAGTTGCCGCTTTTTTTCTGCAGGATACAAACTCAATTTGCAAGCTGAAAACTTGGTCGTGCTGTGTCATCAAAAGGAGAAAAGTATATTTTCGTTTGCTCCCAATTATGTACCGAGCGCTACCATTCCTTAACAGAGTGATTTTTTGCAACTCTCTAGTTGTTTGTTTTCCTCTCTTTTGGGTTAATTAAGAGTCCAGGGTCGAGAGTAATGTTTGCAGTGCGACCGCAAAGTTCAGCCCGAGTTTTTGTTTCAGTTTGTGGATTTCTAATTAAGCTGAATGACGAATTCAACACAGGCCTGTTTAAATAACCAAATATCTTCCTTTGATATTCAAAACCAAGCAACTTTCACAACCCTCAAAATATTTTTGCATTTAAGTTTTTATAAATACAAATTTGACCATAATCTTATATTGAAGTTGTTTTTAAAAATGATATATTTTTAATGCAATATAAAAAATATTTCAAAAATATTTCAGTGCGTTCCCCATGCGTTCTTGAATAAATTTTGATCAAAAATTATTTATATAAGAATTGATTGAAACAAGAAGTCCTTTTTATCGTTTTTATTAAAATCAATGTAATTAATTGTTGAATAATTAATTCAGCGAGAAGTACCTCTACAAAAATTATAAATAATTTTATAAAAATATCATTTGCATTGCACAAGATTTTGTATTTTTACCGAGTTTGAGGTGCGCAAATAAAAGGCTCGGCAAATCGGCTCCTTTCTCGCGGGGTAAACCCCATTATGTCCAGATTTGCTGCGATTTTCACGGTCGGAGGGAGCCGGCACCCTATTGTGCCTCGGCCACAATGGCAAGCGAGCTCATCCATCATCATATGCTCGCGCCGGCGCTGCGAATTTGCATGAGAAGAAGCGGCGGAATTGCAAGTGGCGCGTTGCATACGGGCGTGGCGCCCAACTGCTCCGGCGAGACTGCTGCTCCTTTTCTCGCGGCGTCTCGCGACGACACAGGCACGTTTTTAAGCGGATTTAATGTAGTAGCGGCTGCTTTGTTCGCTCAAGAACAATGCCTGCATTGTTAATTATTTCATAATGTGTGTGTACGAGCTTCGCCACCGTGTTTAAGTTCCTCAAGTGGCGGCGTCCGACGGAAATTTGCGCTGCCACTTGCATGAGACAGCGGCAGAGTCTGCGATGCTCTTTCAGCGGTAAAAGGAGCTAGTTAAATGAAAACTCCTTTATCTAGAGAAATTGTAGAGAAATTTTATAATATACATTAAATTAATTTCTTAAAATAAATGTTTATTTTTATAATATATTTTAAGGAAAGTGAATAACAAAACTTTTTTATTAATTATCTTATTTTTACAATTTTAATTATTACTAATGTCTATCTTAATAATCCTACTGCTATCATGCATTCTACTAAATTATCATTTCACTTGTCATTTTTTTGAATATGAAATTTATTACAAAAATGAATTGGTCGCTCAATGTAAGAGTTGAAATATTAATTTATAATAGATTGCTCGATAGATTGTAATTTTAATCGCCAATAGTAAATTAAACTTTCATAAATTTTAAAGATTAATTAAATCATCCAACGTGATATTGAAGGACAAAGGTATCAATTATCAAATTTTAATATTGATTTATTTGAGACTTAATAACATCTAAATGAGTTTTTGAATTTTCAACACAGTGTCGAAATTTGAAACTTTTATTTTTCCTCATTGAACGCATAATGAAAATTTTGAATTTTTTGCTGAAATTCAGCCGCACGTCTTGAGTCTTTGCGGTCAAATGCTTGTTCGCAATTATTTATTCCAGCGATCCGTGCGACGACCGAGTTATGCAACTGTTTCAGCACTTTTGCTGCTCGGGCTGCCAACGCATACTTTCACCGGCAACGCACCAACCGTTTTCCCAGTCACTTTAATTGCTTTTCTAAAGCCGCTTTAATTAAAATTTAACATTGCAAGGTGGAATTAATCAGTTTAGCGGCGGTGCCGGCGAAATTTGCGTTTCTTCGCTCGGTTGGCGGGAAAATTAAGCACGCCGTCAGCAAGCAATTAGTTTGCAGGCAGTTTTATTTACACAACAAGCCGAGGGCATGCAGGCGAACCAAGACTTTAATGTACTAAAAGCTTGGAGTTATGATTTGTAATTTTATTAGTGGTGCCGCCTTTTGAAGTACATATATTTTGACTTAATTTAATTGAGTTTGTGAAATTACAGTAAACTTCTAAAACGGTTTCTTTAGTTCGACATTTTTAATTTTTTGTAACAGTTTTTTGAACAACTTACACAGCAGAATTAATTAAATGGAATAATTAATTTAGTACAATGGGTCGCAATCTTTTGTCTGCTGATGCGTTCTATGCAAAAACACAGTCAGCGAGAAACCTCTCTTTCAGAAAAGAAGCGTCGACCGCGAGTGTGCGTGCGTTGACGTTAAAAAATGAAGTGTCACGCAGAATAATGGAAAGTTGGTGGAAAAACGGTAGAAAAAGTGGCGTGACACTAACAGAGAGCGCAGCCAGCAGACGCTCCCTTTCTTTTTTTCTTTCGTTCAAATAACGACGACCGCCCTCGTCATTCCATTAGCATGCGTTTCACCGCCACGCCAATAATCGACTTGAGCCGAATATTTTTTTTATTTTAGATCTTCAAAATTTTGATTGTGACTTAATAGCTTTCCTCGCTTGTTGCAGAACACGCTTGCAAAGACTTCACGTGCAAACTGCGCGAATTCTGCATCTCGCCTGACCTGCTGTGCGACGACGTGAATCACTGCGGCGATGGATCTGACGAGGCAGCCAGCACGACTTGCCCACGTAAGGCTCTAAAATTTCCATTAACCATGAAATTTAACTTTTCATAAAAATTTCCTCATAAAACGACGACATTTCGACATTTGTAGTTTTCCGTGTCAGTATACAATTTTATGGGGGAAAACTCTCAAAGCTTTACTTATAAAGAACGGTTTCTCCCTGATTTTCCTCTGCAGCATTTGTGAGTAAAGCAAGAAAAAAGCTGCCGCTTTTGAAAGAAAATCCAGACTCTTTCTTTTCGCTTCACGATCTTCCCTGCTGAGTGGAGACGAAAGTTTAAATTGAATAAACTTTCCATTAGCAGAGCGCACAAGAGAGAGTGAGACATGAGGAAATTGCACTTTTAACTGTGTGTTCGACTTGTGTTTCTTTAGTCACTCCTGCCTTTTTCTAGTGGACATTTTGTTCCAGAGTGGACTTTTCTTGCTATAATATCTAACTCACCAAAGCAACTACTTTTTCAATAAAAACTTACATTTTTTAAATATTTTTGATAAATAAATAAGTTAAAGTTAAATTTTTCACAATTTTGAATCAAATTAATAATTTGAAAGTATTCAAAATTGCATTATAACAATAATTATAAATTATTTAGTTTTATATTATTTCAATATTAACTCAAAGCTGAATTCTGATCATGATTTAATCATAATCCTAATGATCATTATATTGAATACTCAATTTAATTAGCACATAATGTTTTTTTGGAAAAGCAAACAGCACTGAATTATTGACTGAACGTAATGTTTTTGGAAACTCTTGCTCAATCCATACTCCATTAATTCCTCCCTATAACAGTGGACTGCTCATCCAATTATCAAATAAATTTGCCCAGGTTCGCCATTCGCACGTCGGTTGATTAATTTAAACGCCGGCGAATAATTTCCACACGTGGTGCAAAAAGACCGCGCGCGCCACTGTAGCTGCCAGCCAGAAGCTGAGCAAACAAGATTAATCCGCAATTTAACCCGACGCCGCGGCGCGTGCAAAGCGCAGCCCTCGGCGAGCCAAATAATTTTGACATTCATTGGATCATCCATCTTTTCCTGCTAAAAAGCCAGCCAGCCCGAGGGGTCCCTCGTTTTCATTTTGCGTGTTCCTCCCGTGGATGCAATAATTTATTTTTCGGTGATAAATTTTAACCCACCCATTTGTGTCGGCAGCCGGTCACGAGATGGGCACCATCCTGGGCCTCGGCATGCCCGTCTTCGTCGTGCTCACCGTCGGGGTCATCCTGATCGTGTGCGTGTCCTGCGTCGGCTGCGTCTTCTGCGTGTGCCGCCGCATCAAGGGCAACAACAACCGACGACCGCAGGGCCAACCCGCCAATTCGGATTATCCATGTGAGTTTCCTCCCTGCGGAGTTCCTATTAGCTTCTCGCTGCCCTATGGCATAATCCAATACGCTTTTTATTGTGATGTGTCAAGCTTGAAAAATAATTAAATCTTCTTCATTTTCATAAAACTCGTTATTACACAACACAAATATAACAAATCGACATATATAAACCTTTTATTTTAAAATTAATTGCTTTTAAATAAAAGAAACAAGTATTTTATTTTAAAACTAATTGTTATTTTGTAAATATTTAATACATGAATGAAGAAAATATTTTTAAGTAAAGAATTTTATTTATTTTATGCCTTATTTAATTTTTTCCCTTTTTTTATCTAGTATTTTTTTTTCTTATATCTTCCTTTGCTGTTTTATTTTATTTTTTATTTTAATTTTTTAAATAAATACTAATCAATTGCCACTCTACAATATTTCACATTATTTGTTATTATTGTATGAAAAGCAATACATTCAGAATTCACATTTTATTTCACAATTAACAGAAATTTATTTTCTAATCTTTTATACAACTCAAATAAGTCTGCATTTTTAGTGTTTTCCTTTTGCGAATGCATTGTTTTGCCTGCTGCTGCTTTGATTGGCGGTCAGTGTTGATGAAGGAGGATCAGTGAGTGTGGAAATGCTTTTAGTGACGCAGACGCATGGGTCGAACGGAGCCGGCGGCGCCTACAGCAACACCAATCTGGGGGCAGCGCAGTATTCGGGCGTTTCGGCCACCCTTCCGCGTTCACAGCCCCCGACGGCCTCCAACTACTACGCGACGACGGCCACTATGGCGAGGCCGCTTCACCACCAGGAGGGACCGCGGGTCTCGTTCCTGCCGTCGGGAAACCTGCCTCTCCCTGTGGCCCTCGGGTACACCAACAGCAGCGGATCTTGGGTCAACCCCACCACCTGCCCGGACGCGTCAGAGCGGCCGGATCAGACGGGTAAGCCACAATTGATTAATATCCTTATAATGGATTTCTTCAAATTTCAAATATTATATTGCATTTTTAGGTTTAAAAAATCTATAAAAAATTAATTAAATTATCTATTATAAAATAATTTTGTAATTTTCTTGAAAAAGGATTTTGTTCAATTTGATTTGATTTAATTTAATTTGATTTTGTAAATCGAAGCTCATTGTTGAAACGAAAGCTAAATTTACGATGTAGGCAACTTGCTGTGCTTGTCTGCATCGCAGGTTGCATCAATTCAACTCATTCAACTGATAAAAATTATAAAAAAGTCCGAATTAAAATTAAATTTTTGGAATAGATTTTACTAACTTTTGTTATTTCATATTAATTCCAGAGAACTGCCATCCAATCAGAAGGATGAATGGTTCGTCTAAAAGGTAAAAATCCAACAAGATTTTAGGAAGAAAATTCTCATGTTGCTTTTTACATTTTTGCAGAAGACGAGGTTGAATCAAGATCCCAAGGCCCACAGGGAGAAGAAATCCAAGCCCATGTTAGTCCAGCTGGTACCCAGGATCAACATGGCACTACGATGATTTATCATTTTTGTATAATCAAAAACACGCGCATATATACGTCTTGTCATCATTTTGTACAATAACAAACTTGTTTTTATTGCGAAGCAAAACATTTGCAAATGCTCTCGACGAAAAACATCACATTATAGAATAATTATGTATACACCTGTCGCATAAATTGATTGATTGCCGAGCAAAAATTAGTTGTGTCGTTGGCTTAGAACGAGATTTAAATATAATTATTATGTCATCCAGTGGAAAAATCGTTGGCTATTTGTAAAAACATTGCAGAGACAAAAGTTGTGTTTCGTGTTAGACATCTGGCGCGCACTCTCACACACTAAAACTTTTTAACCGACAACAGATCGAGAATTAATCCAGGCTCTAAAAGTAAAATAACAGCTCCAATCTCAGGACTGCACTAATGGTAAAAATCACTTTGATATCAAGCAATGAAACAGGAACAGGGCGTTGAGATGGAATAAGTATCATAGTAAACAGTTTCATATCAGCAAAGAAATATCAATGAAGCAACCTGGAAATATCATTTTTTGATACAAGCAGCTTACATTTATTTTCATATGTATTCAAAAACAGATAAAGAGCGCGTTTTTAAGTATGAATAATGATTAAAAAGCAGATTGAGAATGCAACTACATACTACACACTGTGTGATGTTTGTATTTAAATATTTTAAATATGAACAATTCTTGTCGAGGTTTCAATTTAAGTGAGGGATTATATAAAAGTAAAAACATTTTGCACTTTGGGACGAACAAAGTACCGCTGTTGTGAGAGAACAAAATTAGCAGAAAGTTTGATTACGTGAAGTTGGTACAAATTGCAAAAGGCAGAGTGGAAATTCAAATAAATAAAAAATAACAAATTACATGGGACTAAAACGAGAGTGGCGAGAAATTCAAAAACAATTATATGAAATCGAGAAAAGTGCCTGTTGAAAGGTCTGATGTGTTGCTTGCAGTGAAGAGATAAATATGTGTTGCGCATTTGTTAATTAATTGGCCCATTGATTGATGCGAAATCTGTACGCAAATCTCTAAACAAACAAATTTCCCTGCTGCTCTAGCTGGACGCAATTTCAATTAATTAAGTGTAGTGGTTTGCGTTGGCGTTTTAGCGAGAATACTTGATTAAAGCTTGCCAGAGCCATCTGCGAAAATTTAATTGGAAAATTACACACACATTAGATGGTTCTGGTCGCGATTTTTGCGTTGTTTGTGGATAAGGGAATCAATATGAGGGCGGAATTTACCGGAAGAAATGAGAAAATATATTGCTGACAATACTTTTATCGTGCAGTATAATTATTACTAAAAGGAATTATAAGTAAAAATTTAGTGTGGCATCTCTTTGTACGATAATAACTAAAAAAAAATTATCTTGCTAACTGACTTTAAAGCAGCCATCAAACGCCCATTTTAACTCCAACGGAAGAACTCGAGTGTTCATCAGTAACTAATTGTGTAATTACTCAACCTTTTCAGACAGTAGAGTTACTATAAAAAAAAACATGTTCTTGAAGTAAGAAGCAGGAAATTCCCGTTCCGATCTATAATATTAAAATGGCATAGTGTCACTGAGACGCGCAGAAAACGTATTTAGCATTACGTGTTATGATTCTTCCTGGACTATGCGAAATAAATAATATACAACTTTCCGTTCCTATGGCAAACTCACTGCTGCAGAATATAAATAAGTATTCGATGTAACTTGATGAGATTTAATTTCATAGCTACGCAACACTCGTCACACAGACTAATGAATAAGTAAATTGTTTCTGACGTAGCGGACAGGAAAAAGCAATTTTCTATTTGAGAGCGGTTTTATGTCATTGTGTGAGAGATGTGAAGAAGATGTGAAGTAATCTATATATTAAATATTGAAAATAGCGTTCGATGTTAAGGTTGATCGCGGTTATTTGTTACCCCATGTTTAGGCAAAGGAGAAATTCAATCAGCTCTACTAACTCTCTGGATTAAGAAAAATTAGAAAAATAATAATTAAATAAATAATACTGTGGCATTTGTAATTTTTGTTCGGCGTAAGTACGTAATGGTAATATATGACATTATATATTTAAAAATAATTGTAGAGAGGTACACTTTACTAAAAAGTGAATGTGTGAATGGCGTGTGAGCACTCAACAACAAACTGTATTGCATTATGTATTGTATTGAAAAACTATAAAAAAAATATAATATATACTCTGCGTGTGTGGTGGAAATTAATTGTAAGCTCTATACAATACTTACCGGCTAAGCAAACAGGAACACTCTCTATACTACATGGAAAACGTGAAAAGTACTATAATTACGATAGACTAATTAAATAGGCTTTCAGTGTGGCCGCGTGAGAGGTGAATTCGGAAAAATGACACTCGTCAAAATTGAGATGCAAATGCATTGGTTCATTTAGGATGATTAAGTGTTGTAAATAATAAATATGCTGAGACGTTCTGCAACCAGACGTTCTATTTCATATGATTTTCTATAATACATACACGAGAGATGAGGGCACAACAAACACATAAAATCATACACACCCATATATCAAAATAAATATTACTCGCATACCCATTCAATGTACACCATTGTTATTATTTATTGTTATTATTTATGATTTTTATCTGACAAAGCACAAAGAAAAATTATTTTTCTTTCCAAAATAATATTTGGTGTGCTTTGAATACATCAAATTGACTAACATTTATTTGTAAGGTATATTAAAACTTAATAAATATTGTACGAGATTTTTTCATTATTAAGGTGGGGATAAATTGACGGAAGTAATAATCCATTATTCACCCTATTTAGTTAAGATTTGAATAACATAATTTGAAATTTTTCATTGATTGACATTTTTAATTTACATCAAAGCAACTGACCCGATGTATTATTATCGTTTGCGTGCTCAAAAATGTTACAAGGGAAAGATAGATCTGCAATTTTTTTTAACTATCAAAATAGTCCTGATTTTTATACTTGGTTAAATCTGGTTCTAATTAACTCATAACTTGTAAATCAGCCGTATTTCTATTTTGACCATTTATTATGAAACAATTCTGTGGAAAATTGGCCCGCATCACATTTCCAGTTTGGTTTTGTGCTCTTCTTTTTAAAAAATGACACATCCCTGCCGGCATGAAACTTTTTCTAAAACTCACGTACGCGGCGCGGCGTGTGCCGATTTGGCGCATGGTGCGTTAAATATATCAAATCTGCATATCCGCTGGATTTATGCCGGCGCGTTCATCATGTACTCTCGTTGCCACAAAATCAGAGCACGAAACAAATGGAAAATGAAATGCGCGTGCTGTGCGCCTATAAATGGCCAAATATTTGGAAAAATAACAAAAAGGCACGGAGCAGAACTAACTCATTGGTGAATATTCATGATTTTCGCGCCTCTCATACTCTCATTCATGCCTCGACACACATATACGAACCCACTCACTCACTCATACTTGACACAAAGAGCTGGCAAATTCCGTGTGATGTTTCATATATGCACGTGCGAATTTATAAAAATTTTGGAGAGAAAAAAATAATGTATGGAAACATATATGTGAAGAATGTTGTAAGCTTCAACCTGTCCATGTATGTTTGTATGAGATGAAAAAATAAATTGGCCGACGAACAATGTAAAATCTATAGCTTGCGCATCTGTGTAAAAATTTGAGAATTTCGCCATGTGAGTTTAATTCCTGGGAAAGCAACCAATCCTGCAAATGTCAAGGACTAATACATAATTATGTCACTCTCATGGATCGGAAAGAAGAGAAACACCCACACACATATAATACTGATTATGCGAAATGGAAATAAAATCATCTCTCTTTAGTAACAAAATAATCTTATTTTTCTTAATCTGGCTTTGCACCTGACAGACTGATTTAAATTTTTTTAAATAACAATCTTTGTTTCACCTTTTTAATAAGTTCTTTTAAATGTTTTGATATAATTTATTAAAATATCAATAATCAATCAATATGTTACATGATATATTTAATTTAATTTTTGGTAAATTTTCTAACTGCTGCGAATAATTAAATATCAAAATGAATGTGCTACCGCATTTTTTATAATCTGCATTTATATTTTAAGTTTACACATTTTGGCATTGCAGAAGCCACCAGTTTTAAAATTCAATTAAAATATTTTGCCTTAAAAAAATTATACAATTAATTTTGTCCATCTTGATAAGTTTTTTTTATAATTAGACTTGTTCAGAAATTACTTTTTTAGTAGGAAAAAATTATGTATAATTAACATTTAATGTGCAAAACCGATCTGGAATTAGGTGCTTTATTTCTACAATTCTTTTTTAGACTTACAATTTTTAAATGAAACTAATGGCAAGTTTAGTGAGTCGCTTGTAGATCTCGCTAGCGCTCCGAGAAGGCAGCGCGTTGCAGAGAAGTGGGGAGGGGAATCTGGAAGGCGCCGAGGTGGGTTGCTCTGTGGCGGTCCAGCTCGCGGCCGCACTCGCAGGTGGATGAATTGAGAGGTGTCTACGCACCGAGCAACAACAATCACTCACGGCCCTCGCGGCGCACATGGCGAGCACGTGCCACTGAGTTTGACAGAAAACTTTTTCGTCGGAATGAGTGTCTTCTGAGTGAGATCGGCAGGCGAATTTCTTGTGTGGAATAATTCGGTTTGCTACGATGGACAACAACAAGTGGTTGGTGGTGCTTCTGGTTCTCCTCGCCACCTGCAGCGTGAACGCGCAGAGAAAAGAAGGTGAGGACGAATTTTGTATTTGCATGTCTATTTTTCCTTAGGAAAATATTTAAATTTAATCACCATAAATTAGAGAATCAATTTAAAATTTAGCAAAAAAAATATCTGCACACATTATAAATATTTAATACAATTTGGGCAATGAAATTTTAACACAGAAAATATTAAATGTATTTATTAATTTTTTTGTTGAGTATTAAAACATTCTTCCGTCGTGAACAATCTTGATTGTCACTTATAAAATCTTTTTGGAGCTTTTTTTCTATTTGCATTGATTCAGCACAATTCGCCCCTGATCATTTTACAGCATTTCATATTTTATTTTTTTCAAAATCATCTTGTAGAACAAATAAGGGATGCTGTTGAAATTTATTTAAGCCGCAGAGCCACCCCTGGTATCTCTCGGTTGTTTTCGGCAGGTATAATACACAGGCGTCCTATCCGATCTTCAGGGGTGGCAAAAGAGCAGTCGAGGGAAAAAAGAACCTCACGCAGTCTATCTCTATGATTGTGTACTTTGTACTTGTTGCTGCTGCTGCTGCATACCTGGGCCGACGCGGCGCGCGAACAAGTGGACTCATTGTTCGGAAGAATGAAAAATCACTCCCCCGACCCCCTACGCGCGTCCCGTTCAACTCGAGCTCTGAATTCGAAGACGAAGGCTCGCCCAGGCAAAATAATCCCGAGATTCCGCGTGTGCAGGCAGCCGGGTTAATGCGCGAAATCCAAAATAATCCTCAATGGAAAAGAGTCACCAGATCTCTTTGCTGCAGGGATCAGCAACAACTCCACTGGGAGTTTGCTGTTGTCAGAAATTTTTTTCATAATGTCTTGTGATTTTCTAGCTCCAGTAAACAGTAATCATACAAAAGTTACTTTTAAATCCAAGGTGGTGATTTTTTTTAAATATAATTCATTTGAAGAGGTGATTAAAAAAATAAATCCAAATGTGTTTTCAATACCTTTTTGAAGAAACACTTCACGATTTGAGGGTTGATTCATGCTGGTGTTGAATCGAAATTCAGCTTTTACTCCATATAATTTTTCAATTATTTTCTTCTTCTTATTGTTAGAAAAAAAAATCCTATGTTTTATTGTAAAAACAGTTCTTGATGAAAATTTTGTAAGTTGAAAAAATATTGTTTTAAAAAACTAAATGTATTATACACATTCTTGTTGAAATAATTCACAGCCAATCCTACCCGTTATGGCTGCAGCCCATTGCCTAAAACTTAAGAGAATGATGTAGTTTTTTTTATATAAATCAATACAAAAGGGCGAAAAATCCTTTAGAAAAAAGACAAATTACAATTCAAAACTATTGTGTTTATTTACTAGTTGGAAAATTTCCCTTATTATATTTATCTAAAAAGAGTTATTTTTAGGACTTCAATAGATTTAAAAAAAAATCAATTCAAAATTGTATTAAATCAAGTAAACATTTTTAATTTCACTATCTGCACTTAATCATTTGATTTTAATTGACTTTGGGCGAATCCCAATTTAGTTTTGTCCAACACGCTTTCAATTTATATAACCAAGTCAAAAGTCTCATTCACAATCAGATCCCATGTTTTTTTTTCTCTGTCGATGCTCTTGCTGAATCACTGCCCCATTAATAATTTATAAATTAATAACAAAGGTCCTAACAATGGATTGCGGACAATGCGACCGCGCTGCTGGGAAAAATGAGATAAGGCACAAACGAAAAGGAGAGAGAAAACAAATAAAAATGCGCCCTCTCTCATCACCACATCTCTGGCGCACGGGGACGACATAAAAAAAGTAAAAAGAAGAAGAAAATCATTTGAGCCGCATAGCGAGGATGAGACGAGATTTTATCTTTTATTAGAGGCGCTTCTTTCTCTCCACGCCGCGAGATTAATAATCACATACAAGCTCGTGCCCAACATAAATATCACCGTGACAGATGAGAAATGGCAACAAATTTTTCACCCAGTGTGGCAACAAGATTAAAGAAATCAATATTGAAGCTCAAATTTAATACACAAAGCCATTAATTCTGTGAGTAAACGTTACCGGTGATTTATCTTTCTTATTACAATTGTTATTCCATTTTAAATAATTTTTTATATAAATATTTTGCCTTCTCATCGCATTATTTAAAATAAAGAGCTTCTTAATTGATGAATGGGGCACGTGATTGTTTTTTATCAGACGGTGCTTCTGCCGGCACTTATCAGCTTGTTGCATCTGGCGACATAAATTTATCCTTATACGTTGTTGTGCCTTTGGGCTCCTGTCGACGTTGTACAATCCTTTTGTGTTTTCTCAGAGGTGCATTATCGCCGTCGTGTATAGATATTATGTGACCGTGCTCTCAGCACTTTATTTATACATACATCCACTTCTTGCATTACATAATGCTCGCGGGCACATAAGATGTTGACAAGCGACTTCCGTGAGCTTTTTATTATTAAAATTTTTACATACATAAAAGAAAGAGAGGATGAAGTATATAAAAGAGTTGTGCGCGCCGTTCTTATCCCCTGCATGCGCTCTAAATGAGCGCGCGATGCCTAATTATCTCCAAATTCCTGAGCGAAAAAGAAGCAGGATGAAAGTTGCGTCACAATACAGACGGTGCCTTTGTCTCATCGTTGTCGAGTGCACTCGCTTTGTTCAAAATTAACCTCAAGCAAGGAGACGTTAAAGCAAAAATGCAGGAAAGTTAAAAGGGAAGACTGAAAAATTAATTAACTATGTACATAAATGGAGATGGTGCAAAGTTTAATTTGATATCCCAAACAGGTACAAGGAAAAATATTTAATTGCTTAAAGCTTTAAAATTTGTGGAATTTTTGTTTTAATTATAAAAGATAAAAACGCCACAAATTCTTTCTGTCATACTGACCAAAATTTTATTTCTGGTTAAATTTACTAGTGATTTCAATTAATTTCTATATAAATGAGCAAGTTTTTCAAATTGGACATATCGAATTTCTATAGGTGAGTAAAAATTTTTAAGCCGAATTTCCGTTCCAGGCTTTGACATTTTATTATAGTATTTTGTGTTTCCAAGAATCTTGCATATCATCACTCACCGCCGAATTTTGTACATTTTAAAGACTTCATTAATTTTCATCTCACGTTTGCTGGCATTTTTTGTTGCCTCTCTTAGTTTTCTTGTAGTCGCTTTTTGTGGCGTGCGTGCTCCCCAGTGAAGTCTCAAAGGCACAAAAGTCATAAAACGCGCGCTCCGTCTTTTGTTCCGCGTTCGAGCTCTGATTTTACAACCCTCACACCTTGTATGTACCTGACCGACAGCGTGTTTGTGGAATTTGGAAAGTTTGAATATACGCCACGGGCTTTCTTTGCATTTCAACAAGCCTCAGCTGGGGTCTTTTCAGCAAAATTATATGATGCATTCATAATTATTTAGTGCTGCTCATTTAAACAGCGCCAGAATTGAATGACCGTGAAGGACGCTCAAGTTTCTTTCATTCATGAGTTACAATTGTTAAAAATCTTTGTAGCACATGAGGGTTACCTTTCACGCTTCCCCAAAAAATTCATTCACTTGTTTTTTCAAACACATTTCATGTTTTCCAAACTTTTTATTTGTTTTTATTAAAAAATTTTAAGCTTTAGGAATAATTTATTTAAATAATAAATATTATAATCCTATTTATTTATGTAAGAACACTAAAAAAAAATTTAACAATTACATTAATTTAGATATCATTTAAAAAAATTGTTACTTGTATACTAAATATCAATTTTTCCAGCTCTGTATAATGTGTTAATTAAATGTGTTTACTTATTTAAAAATAGACAGTGATTTCCAGCATTATTTGAATTTTTTACTGTTAAGAGTGTCAAGACTAATATTTAAAGTCTCATAAATTTTAATGTCAATGACTCTGAATGAAAAATTCCAAAACTATATATATAAATTAAAAATAAAATTTATGAAGATTAATTTTTCATTTCAGGTCGACGACGTGGACAACATCGTCACCGAGAGCGCATTTCCGTGGAAGCGATTCAGCAAAAACGTCAGTTCAGGGAAGACGAAGGGTTGTTCCCCTCAATCCTGAACTTGGCCACGCAAGCCCTGATCACAAGCAACGCCACTTGCGGCGAAAACGGCCCTGAGCGGTACTGCAAGCTGGTGGAACATGGGGCCAAAAGGGAGCCGCAGTGTGGCGTGTGCGACTCGAAGGCCAGGGAGTCTGCCCGAAGACACCCTGCCGAGCTGGCCATCGACGGCACCAACCGCTGGTGGCAGAGTCCCTCGCTGCAGAGTGGCCTCCGCTTCCAGTGGGTCACGCTCACCCTTGACCTCAGACAGGTAGGAAACACGAATTCTTTTTAAAGTTAAAATTTCAAGAACAATCGTAAAGGTTTTTTTATAAAAAGAGTCAAACCGTCTGCAGACTAAAGCTATAAAAATCAGAAACTAGACAAACTTCATCTAAAATTTATTTATAAACTGTTATAAACAAAGCAAATTATCGAATATCTCTCAATATTATATAAATGAAATGGAGGTTTCAATTTTTAAATTAATTAAATTAAAAAAAAAGATGCGTTCTGGAGCAGCTTGAAAAAAATATACATTTAAGGACTCCTTATTGACATAGTCAAATCAAGTCTTTACAACAATGATGATGAAATTTTCCAATTCTTGATAAAAATGTTTCCTATTGTTGAAAAGACTTGATTTGACTATGTCAATAAGGAGGTCTTAAATCAAAAGATTTGTTAAGATATATATATTTTGATAATAAGTAGTTTAATATTTATTATCTGAAGTAGTTTTTATTGAAAATCGATGGTGGTAGCCGAGTTCTTCTCAAATTTGGCGTCGGCTGGGTGCATATTGTCCTTTTTCCTGATGGGTTCCGTCCTAAGCAAGCAAGCGCCCTCGTGCTCTTGGAACTCGGACGAGTACGAAGTTTCAGACTCGATCTTTCCGGGCAAAAAATGCAGATTGGTTTTGTTGGGCAACAGCTTAGCCGGGGTGGCCGTTGGGTACTTGGGAAAGTCCCTGGCATACATTGACTGCCCATCCAATTTGCAGTTGCTCAGCTCGATCAAGTCCTTGCGCTTGATGGGCTTCTGCACTTCACTCTCGTTGATCTCAAACTCTTTTTTTTTAAATAAAAATCAGTTATTGAGAGATGAATTCTTTCCAAAAAATTAAAAATCATAAAACCAGGGAAATGGGTGTTGTAGAAAGTGTTCCGTTCCATGTGGACCTCGGCTGGCGCTGCGTGAAGGTGGTTGGGAATTTCAACCAGCTTCCCGCGACCCTGGAACCTGTTCACTCCCCTGGTGTCCAGGACTTTGTGCCAGCCGTAAGAGATTTTTTCTAAAGCCATTTCTATCAATTTTGAAACACAAAAATCCGACTTCAAAACTTCGAAATTTAAATATCGGCCAGTTTAAGATTGCTTTTAAAATCGAACAATGTATAATCAACAACAATAGGAAAAATTTTAAAAGTATGTTATTGTTATAATTAAATTATAGATATTGAAATGGTGGATCAGACAATATAAATAGAAATGAAGCCAGACGCATATAATAGAGATTCCATTTTTTTTTATCGATCTTTTTTAATTAATATATGTAAAGCGATTCGCTGGAATTATATTTTAAATCGCCGCCAAAAAAAATTTCTAAATTCGACCGCAAGGAAGATCACAACAATCAGAGCAAATTGTGATTGTTGCTCAGACAACAATCAGAGTTTTGTGATTCGCGAACCATGTTCGCCCTGCCACTGTTGATAAGCCGATTTTTTGAGCACATTGTTCAGTGCACTGGACAGCTCAGTGGGTGAGAACGCGCACGGTAGGACTCACAGGCTGTAAGGTACCTACAGACCTGTGAGCCGACCAAGACGGGTTCAAAACACTGCTGGGTTGGCCTTTTTCACATCTTGCTATAGTTTCAATTCAATTCCAAATCACATTTACATGTTAAAAAAACTTGCTAGTTGAATAAAAAAAATTAAATAAAATTACAAAATAATATAATATTTTCTATGCACGCCTTTTGAGTAAACTTTCTTTAAGGGCTCATTCTTATTTACATATTGAATTATTATTGTTGTTTTAAATTAACTGTGTTTTTTGTGCACAACCAGCAATTATTTAATATAGCGATTTGCTCGAATTTTATTTTATCTCGCCACCGATAAAAAAAAATTTAAATTAGACCACAAGGTTTACGCATCAAAACAATTAGTTCTAAATTTTTACTAAAACATTTATTTTTATTTTTTGTATTTAAACGCTTCGATTTTTGTGCTTTAATATTTTGAATGCAAACTTTTAATTTTAGTCATAAACTTGCATTGAATTTAAGTGCCAAATGAAATAGGATCGGTATAACAGATGCTGCCGCGCTACTGGAATTACTCTGATGCGAACGCTGCATGAAAGTGACTTGGGCCGCGGTCATGCATATTTATGAATTGTGACTCGGTGTGTTGTGTCTATACTTAATTTAAAGCGAGTGCCTCTCCGACGGTTCTCACCGAGAGCGGCGACGGACCCCTTTAATCTGCACAAAGCGGCCACTATTACGGCTCTAAACGATCTCGTATATTTCAAAAGAACGGTGCCGCGCGCCGAACGAGCCTTGTTTCCCCATAACGTGTCGAATAAATGGCCCGACGCTGTCTGTGCAGAGCGAACGAACCAACGAACGACTCTCCAAGATTTATAAGCGCGGCTCCCTCTCGCTCAATTCGCGGCAAAAATAAGCAGGTTATTTAGGCGAGTGACAAAAATAGACGCCGCGGGCGCATCCACCACATAAATACACGCACCATCAACCCTTTTTCAAAGTACGATTCCGGACCGCGTGTCGCCAGAGTGAGCTGCTTAATGCCAGCAATGACATGCTTTATTTGTTAAGGATTGCAATTTAAAAAAAGAAAAAACAAGGAAAATTTTAAAAGCCACATTAACTATTGAATTTGTTCTTATTTTTGCGTAAGTTTTAAAAGATAAGCGACGAACTTTGAAGTTTTAAATTAATCTCCTAATTATTTTCTAACTCAATGAGGAAGTTTTGCTGTAAAGTGTCTCTTGAACTTGTTTCTGATGCACGCTTTTGCAGTGAGTTAGTGCTGCACGTGTTTCCTAAAGGCGGAATTGTGTTGATGCAACATCCATGCATCCTTAATTACCATACTGGAAAGACATCTTTATTATTTTTAGTTCTCGTTGTCAACACCCCCTTGCTGTATATTATGCAGGCCTCGACAACTTCGCTCATTAAGAGCGAAAAATGCAAATTGGGACTCTAAAACTAAAATAGAACTGAGTTAAAAAAAAATTGAAAAATAATGCTGGGATGCCATGACTCTTGCATTTCATTAACCCAAATTTTAACTCCGTAGGGTATCCTTAATTTTATTACAGTCGCATTACCTCATATATAGGCGTGGGATTTTGACCGTATTTGTCTACTTAAAAAGCTTTTCAACTGTCTTATCAATGAAAAATTAACGTTCGAGCCGCAACTCTCGTCCTCTTTCCGCTGATGGAATAAACAAACAAAGAACCCTTTCATATGTTCTTCCTGAACAAAAACTCACCGCTGCACGGCGTGGCACAAACGACAGATCTTTTTCGTTTTATTTCACTCCAGCCGTTCTTTCTTTTATTTTGGCATTCCATCAGGTAATTTTACATTCGCATCCAATGGAAAATTTAATTAGAAAATTACTCTTATGGAGCAAAAGTTAATGTTTTCATTTATATAAAAAATCAATTAATGGTTTTAATTTTGGATGTTTTTTTCTAAAATAAAGTCCTTAGAATTTAAAAAAAAAATCTCGTAAATATCTCCACTCTAAAGTGATAAACAAAAAAGTCTAATATTTTTGCATTGATACAAACCTCTGAAATAATTATATAACTATTATTTTACTCGTGGCTTTCGCAGTCAGCGAACTGCACATTTGCAGCTGGACGAAAGTTTTATTTTTGAATTCCGTGAAGGGAAAAATTCCATGTGAGCAACCTGCTCTGCCCGTTTTCTTGGTAACGAACCTGCTGCCCGCGAGTGCCGGTCAGAATCTCTCCCATTCCATAGGTCTGCAACCGTATAAAGCATCTCAGAAACAGATTTACACACACTACACACACTCGGCTATAGGCCGAATGTGTGTGTGTATTTTAGTAGGTGCATCTCTTTTGTTAGGACCACCCGTGGTTTTTCTTCAATAACACGCTGAATAAAGTCGGGACGAGATACAAGAGCTTGTAATCAAGCGAGGCCCCTTATTAAGCCGATTTATTTATCCCGCACTCTTTGTTATTCGCAATTATTATTGGCCAAGAAAGAGAAGGAAGCTAAAGAGGCGTATGTTCGACACAATGCACGCAGTACTTGCCAAGGGAATTTACTTACGGGGCCACACAATGCACGCCGAGGAGCCCCTCGCGCGCATTGTTCTTTTGTGACTTCTCATTCTGCGCAACGCAGACTTCCTTTGGCGACAATCTGCTGCGTAATCCTAATTTTCCGTCATTAAATGGCTACTTAATTCATAATGCAGCCTTATGATTTTGTGTGCTGGGAACGGTTTTCTGAAGGAGGAAGAGTCGTGGCTTATTAGTTATTAGGCATATGGGCACCGAAAGCATCAGGCTGCATGATAAATGGAAAGAAAACGAGCAGCAGTTGCTGTTTTGCAAGATTTTTATTTCGAAATAGCAAATCTTACATTTAGAAAGACAAAAATAAATTTGTCATTCAAAATGTGTTTTTAAAGTTTAATATAAGATATTTAAAAAAAGAAGAAGCACAACTATAGTTTTTGCTTCCTTTTTTTTTTTAAATATTTCCACAGATATTTTGTGTGATGAAGTTGACGCCATTAAAATATTTGTGTTTTTCTTCATTTTCAATGATATTAGCAGCTCAGTAAATTTGCCCGTTAAGCTCACTCCATGAAAAGAACAAGAAATTAGAAAGTAATAATAGATCTAGCCTCTTTGTCAATTCTTTCCGTCTATTTTAAACAAATTTAGGTTTGGCTTTTTTTGTTTATTCGTTGGGCGAGCAGGAATTTGAAGAGTTTGGAGGTGCTGGGAGGTGCATCTTCTCTGCTCCTCTGTCTCCTCTCGATCGCGGCGTTTTGAGGAGAAAACGGCCTGTTGGGAAGAAATAAGCGCGCAGACCACACACCCGCCGAGGATGGAGATTGAAATAATGCAGCGCGCGGCAGAGATTACATGGGTGAACTTCTAAGTCTGACAAGGCATCCCCGCCTTGTTATTTATTATCACCTGTCGGCACTTTTGTTGCCGCGCGCGTCTCTCTCAG